TAACAAGGGGCAGTCACACCCAGCTTATTTCCAACACGCTAATTTTGATTTCAGTTCACATCGTCACTTTTTCCTATCTAGTTACGAGTATAAATTCACTGTTGGGTAAAAACTTAACAGACCTCGCTTTGATTTCTAAGGGCGCCGCGAGACAGATTCAGTGACAACACAAGCAAGGAAAGACTTGACTCGATGTGCACTAGTTTTAGGAGTTGAGTCAATTCCTAGAAACTAGTGCACATTGAAATATAATTGATGAGGAGTAGCAGTGTTATTTCATATCAAGGCAATTATAGTTACTATCTTCCACTGTCGCGTTCTTTACGTCTTGATGTTTTTGCTTTGTTGCATTTAGCAAAACACTCTAATAGTTGGCTTTTCTCCGGTCTGAAACCATATGTTCGTCGTGGTAGGCAAACAATTGAGGCACGCTGCAAAAACTGAATGGCATGCAACAAGTAAACATGACATGGGTAAATTAGACCTTTCTCCGATTCTTAGAATTCCAGGTGAACGAGTAGCAACGTTAAAGCTCTTAGCTGCCATCTTGCATGAATCTAATGAATTGCTTGAGACTTATTGCCCTCAAAAGTGGAAATACTGTAAATGAGTTTTGCTACTTCTGGAAATGTTGTCGTCTATCATGACCGATAGCAGACAATGCAACAAGCGAGCTTCCTCAATCGAAACAACTCTTATTTCAATACCAAACCTGTGAGAGTTCACTCGAGCCAATTTAGAATTAACACGCTAATTGTGATTTCAGTTCACATCGTCACTTTACGCTATGTAGTTAAGAGCACTGAAGTATTCACTGCTCTGTAACAACTGAACATTCCTCGATTTGATTTCAAAGGCCGCGAGACAGATTAAACAACAGAAGCAAAGAAATACTTCTTCGATGTTCACTGGTTCCTAGGAATTGAGTCAATTCCAATAAGTAGTGAACCTTGAAATATAATTAGTAGAGAGAAGCAGTGTGATTTCATAACAAGGCAATTTTTGTTAGTATCTACTGCTGTCACCTACTTTACATCTTGATCTTTTGCGGCTCTGTCAGATTGTTCACATCTTTCAAATTACATTTAGCAAAACAATTTAATAGCGGGATTTTTTCCGGCCTGAAAACCGTATGCTCGTCATGGTAGGCAAACAACTGAAGCATACCGTACAAAGACTGAATGGCATGCGAGAAGTAAACATGGCATGAGTAAATTAGACCGATTCTTAGAATTCCAGGTGCACTAAGCATTGTTGAGGCTTTTAGTTGTCATCTTGTAGGAAACTAAAGTACTGCTGGATAAGTATTTGCCTTCAAAACTGGTAAGACTGTGTAGTTTTGCTGCCTATGAAATTTTGTCGTCCATCATGATCGATAGCAAACAATGCAACTAGTGAGCTTCCTTAATCGAAGCAAATACTAATAATGAGCCCTCGACCTGGCAAAACTGAAATCAGTTTCATACTGACTGTGATGTTTACCAACGCTCAGCAATTGAATTCGAACGGCAAGGTAATAAGATATATATCAACTGTGTCAAATCCATATCGGCATGGAACTTAACATAACATATGGAGCTCTTGTTCTCACTGAATAGTCTCGAATAGTCGTTTACCATGATCCCTCAGTTTGATTTCAATGGCAAATCAGAGCCAACAGCACAAGTGTAGAACAGGCCACTCAATGTTTCTCGGAATTCCAAAAAAATCACCAGAACGTTATCATATGTCAGAGGAGTATTACTGTTTTCACTGGCGCTTAATTTAAATATCTGTCTCTTATTTAAAGGTTTTGCTCTGTTGCATTTTGCAAATCCTGCAATGCATATATATACATATATGTGTTACGCAAAACCTTTGTGATAATGCAAATATAAAGCAAGAAGTTTCCATGCTTGAAAGGTTACACGCCATAATGGGTAAACAAGACATGTGCCACACACTAAAAGTTGATCAATTTTTCTAGGAAATTGGTCCCCACTGAATACTAAAGGTGCATCAGCATCAAAGGAGCATTTTCAGTTTCGATGGCATATTCAAAGAGCCTCTGATCTTGGGCCTCAAAAGGTTCTTTGAAAACCTCTTTTTAAACTGGTAAGAATGTGAAAGTTTCTTGTCATAAAAAATAGAAATCGTGCTATTGACAGTCTAAACTAGGTCTAAGCTGGCTGCATTAAATCATGTCTATCTTTTAGCTTATTTCGAAACAATCGACGAACGAAGACCCAGTAAAGGATGTAAGGTGTTATTTGGTTCTAAATAATTTTTCGTCTCTAAAATTTGTACTCAGTTACGGCTACAGACCTGGGCTACAGATCTAGTCGATTCGTGGTTTAACGCATATTTAGAATACTTAAAATGTTGCTGCTAACATTAGAAGAATATAAATAGAGGCTTTCAGGTCGGAGTACATAACAACTGAACAAAGAAGTCGGGTTTCATTTCTGGTTATTTATGTAACGCTTCAGAAACTCTGCGCCATAAATTTTCGACGTAATTATGTCAAAAGTGAATTATTTACAAAACTGGCTGAGCCATAATTTAAGAAAGTCCCAAGTGGGGTTTAGGGAATACGATTTTCGATTTTCGATTTTCATTACATCAATCTGCCTAGTAACAGACGTCCCCTTTTTTTTAACAAAAAGTAAAGTTTTAGTTTCATTTCATTTCATCTGTCTGTCTAATGAAACTTATAAGGCGTCCACGACCCGATGAAGTGTATTAAATACTATTAAATGCACTCTTAGTTAAACCAGTTCGGTTGCTTTGTTGTTTCAACAAGACACAACGGCACCTGTGAGAGTTCCATAGAGCTAATTTCGAACACAGTAATTTTGACTTCAGTTCATGATCAGATCATCACTTTTCGTTATGCGGTTATGCCGCATGGACTCACTGTTCGGTAACACCTTAACAGCCCTCGATTTGATTCCAAATGCCGCGAGACAGATTCAACAACACAAGCAAAAAAACTTCGATGTTCACTAGTTTCTTGAAATTGACTCAATTCCTAGAAACTAGTGAAGATTGAAATACATATACTGAAGCAGTGTCATATCAAGACAATTAGGTTAGTATCTACTGCTGTCATTTGCTTTACATCTCAATCGTTTTGCTGTGTTAGATTATTCACATCTTTCTAATTACATTTAGCAAAACAATTTAAAAGTGGCTATTTTTCCTGTCTGAAAACTCTATTCTCATCATGGTAGGCAAACAACTTAACCATACTACAAAGACTGAATGGCATGCGACAAGTAAACATGACATGGGTAAATTAGCCTTTCTCCGATTCTTAGAATCTCAGGCGCACCAAGCATTGTTAAGGCTTTTAGTTGCCATCTTGCAGGAACCTAAAGTAATGTGTGATACCTATTTGTCTTCAAAACTGGTAAGACTGTACTGTACTGGAATCAAAATATCATAGTATCAAATCATTATATTAATATTCAATTAGCAAAATTTATTTCATCTTGCTTTGATCTACGCAATATTCTACTTTCAAATCAAACCAATGTAACTTGATTGCTATATCATAACATAATTATTTGATCACGATAATCGTTACTGTTTTAGTTCTAGTTTTTAAAAGCTTTTGGAACACTGTATGTATTTATAGTCATGCAAATAAAGCTAGTTCTTGTTGGTGGTGGTGACCGGTCTGGTTAGTCAAGACTCCGCATCGAACAATCAAGCTCTTTGAACACTAGAAATACATGTTAATCATTTCTCAATCTTACCTGTTTGGAAGTTTTGAATTGCTGAGCAAAGTTTTAGACTGAAATAGGTTTCTCTACATCGATGCTTGAAAAGTAAAAAGCTACTTGTTTACGTTTCGTACGAAGATAGAGTTCCGAGAAAATAATGCAAGCAATCATTACTTCTGCGCATGCGTTAGTCGTTGACAAAGAGGAGACAAATTTCCTTGAAATATGAATTGATATAATGTTTATCAAATTTTACACAAATGTCCTCTACTTCTTTTTTACTGCGAGCAATGACATATTTTGATTATGCGGAATCCTTGAATTTTCGACGTGGTGGTGTTTTTCGTGCACCCCGCTACAGAACTACTGACAGTTAAATAGAGGTAACTATGGCAACGGTAATGTCACGGGACAGGCAAACATCTCATGCGTGAATTAAACCTTTATCCGATTCTTAGAATTCCAGGTGCAGCAAGCATTGTTCAAGCGTCTAGCTGCCATCTTGAAGGGAGCTATAGAATTGTTTGATAACCGTTTGTCTTCAAAACTGGTAAGACTGATGTTTTGCTGCTTTTGAAAATTTTGTAGTCTATAATGACCACCGATAGCACACAATGCGACTAGCGAGTTAGGGAGAACATATTATTGAAGCTTAAAGTACTGAATTCATGATCCTTTTTAGTTAGGTATCCTCTGATCTGAAATCATTTGCTTCGGCTTGAAACAAGATGACTGAAGCCTTCCTACGACGAAAGCTTTCGTTATTAACTTGAAACAACAACCATTGTTTAGAAATATATGTGTGGATTACAGGTACAATGTGATTATATCAATAGTCCTCGATTTGATTTCAACAACACAAGCGAAGAAAGCCTCTTTAATATGCCCAATTTTCTAGGAATTGAAAAATAATGCACTCAGTCAGGGCTATAAATCTAGCCGGCTCGAGGTTTGAAGTATATTTAGAAGATATGTTTAGAAGACACTTTTAAAATGTTGCTCGTAAAGTTAGAAGCATATTAATAGAGGCTTTCTGATCGCAGTACGTGCCAACCATAATGTTAGAAGGCTAAAGGAATACTATTTTTCAGTTTCCATTATTTGCTTAGTAACAGACGTTCCGTTTTTACAACAAAGAATATAGTTTCAGTTTCATTTCATTCATTTGACCAGAATTGTCTAATGAAATTTACTTTCACGACGGTGACTCGTGGACCGTTTGATGTAAGTGTCTTTTGAAATACTAATGTACTCTTAATTTATCTCCGGCATGAAGAGCTGTTGGTTGTGTTGTTTATTTAACAAGGGGCAGTCACACCCAGCTTATTTCCAACACGCTAATTTTGATTTCAGTTCACATCGTCACTTTTTCCTATCTAGTTACGAGTATAAATTCACTGTTGGGTAAAAACTTAACAGACCTCGCTTTGATTTCTAAGGGCGCCGCGAGACAGATTCAGTGACAACACAAGCAAGGAAAGACTTGACTCGATGTGCACTAGTTTTAGGAGTTGAGTCAATTCCTAGAAACTAGTGCACATTGAAATATAATTGATGAGGAGTAGCAGTGTTATTTCATATCAAGGCAATTATAGTTACTATCTTCCACTGTCGCGTTCTTTACGTCTTGATGTTTTTGCTTTGTTGCATTTAGCAAAACACTCTAATAGTTGGCTTTTCTCCGGTCTGAAACCATATGTTCGTCGTGGTAGGCAAACAATTGAGGCACGCTGCAAAAACTGAATGGCATGCAACAAGTAAACATGACATGGGTAAATTAGACCTTTCTCCGATTCTTAGAATTCCAGGTGAACGAGTAGCAACGTTAAAGCTCTTAGCTGCCATCTTGCATGAATCTAATGAATTGCTTGAGACTTATTGCCCTCAAAAGTGGAAATACTGTAAATGAGTTTTGCTACTTCTGGAAATGTTGTCGTCTATCATGACCGATAGCAGACAATGCAACAAGCGAGCTTCCTCAATCGAAACAACTCTTATTTCAATACCAAACCTGTGAGAGTTCACTCGAGCCAATTTAGAATGAACACGCTAATTGTGATTTCAGTTCACATCGTCACTTTACGCTATGTAGTTAAGAGCACTGAAGTATTCACTGCTCTGTAACAACTGAACATTCCTCGATTTGATTTCAAAGGCCGCGAGACAGATTAAACAACAGAAGCAAAGAAATACTTCTTCGATGTTCACTGGTTCCTAGGAATTGAGTCAATTCCAATAAGTAGTGAACCTTGAAATATAATTAGTAGAGAGAAGCAGTGTGATTTCATAACAAGGCAATTTTTGTTAGTATCTACTGCTGTCACCTACTTTACATCTTGATCTTTTGCGGCTCTGTCAGATTGTTCACATCTTTCAAATTACATTTAGCAAAACAATTTAATAGCGGGATTTTTTCCGGCCTGAAAACCGTATGCTCGTCATGGTAGGCAAACAACTGAAGCATACCGTACAAAGACTGAATGGCATGCGAGAAGTAAACATGGCATGAGTAAATTAGACCGATTCTTAGAATTCCAGGTGCACTAAGCATTGTTGAGGCTTTTAGTTGTCATCTTGTAGGAAACTAAAGTACTGCTGGATAAGTATTTGCCTTCAAAACTGGTAAGACTGTGTAGTTTTGCTGCCTATGAAATTTTGTCGTCCATCATGATCGATAGCAAACAATGCAACTAGTGAGCTTCCTTAATCGAAGCAAATACTAATAATGAGCCCTCGACCTGGCAAAACTGAAATCAGTTTCATACTGACTGTGATGTTTACCAACGCTCAGCAATTGAATTCGAACGGCAAGGTAATAAGATATATATCAACTGTGTCAAATCCATATCGGCATGGAACTTAACATAACATATGGAGCTCTTGTTCTCACTGAATAGTCTCGAATAGTCGTTTACCATGATCCCTCAGTTTGATTTCAATGGCAAATCAGAGCCAACAGCACAAGTGTAGAACAGGCCACTCAATGTTTCTCGGAATTCCAAAAAAATCACCAGAACGTTATCATATGTCAGAGGAGTATTACTGTTTTCACTGGCGCTTAATTTAAATATCTGTCTCTTATTTAAAGGTTTTGCTCTGTTGCATTTTGCAAATCCTGCAATGCATATATATACATATATGTGTTACGCAAAACCTTTGTGATAATGCAAATATAAAGCAAGAAGTTTCCATGCTTGAAAGGTTACACGCCATAATGGGTAAACAAGACATGTGCCACACACTAAAAGTTGATCAATTTTTCTAGGAAATTGGTCCCCACTGAATACTAAAGGTGCATCAGCATCAAAGGAGCATTTTCAGTTTCGATGGCATATTCAAAGAGCCTCTGATCTTGGGCCTCAAAAGGTTCTTTGAAAACCTCTTTTTAAACTGGTAAGAATGTGAAAGTTTCTTGTCATAAAAAATAGAAATCGTGCTATTGACAGTCTAAACTAGGTCTAAGCTGGCTGCATTAAATCATGTCTATCTTTTAGCTTATTTCGAAACAATCGACGAACGAAGACCCAGTAAAGGATGTAAGGTGTTATTTGGTTCTAAATAATTTTTCGTCTCTAAAATTTGTACTCAGTTACGGCTACAGACCTGGGCTACAGATCTAGTCGATTCGTGGTTTAACGCATATTTAGAATACTTAAAATGTTGCTGCTAACATTAGAAGAATATAAATAGAGGCTTTCAGGTCGGAGTACATAACAACTGAACAAAGAAGTCGGGTTTCATTTCTGGTTATTTATGTAACGCTTCAGAAACTCTGCGCCATAAATTTTCGACGTAATTATGTCAAAAGTGAATTATTTACAAAACTGGCTGAGCCATAATTTAAGAAAGTCCCAAGTGGGGTTTAGGGAATACGATTTTCGATTTTCGATTTTCATTACATCAATCTGCCTAGTAACAGACGTCCCCTTTTTTTTAACAAAAAGTAAAGTTTTAGTTTCATTTCATTTCATCTGTCTGTCTAATGAAACTTATAAGGCGTCCACGACCCGATGAAGTGTATTAAATACTATTAAATGCACTCTTAGTTAAACCAGTTCGGTTGCTTTGTTGTTTCAACAAGACACAACGGCACCTGTGAGAGTTCCATAGAGCTAATTTCGAACACAGTAATTTTGACTTCAGTTCATGATCAGATCATCACTTTTCGTTATGCGGTTATGCCGCATGGATTCACTGTTCGGTAACACCTTAACAGCCCTCGATTTGATTCAAAAAACTGGTAAGACTGTGTAGTTTTGTTGCCTACGAAATTTTGTCGTCCATCATGATCGATAGCAAACAATGCAACTAGCGAGCTTCCTTAATCGAAGCAAATACTAATAATGAGCCCTCAACCTGGCAAAACTGAAATCAGTTTCATACTGATTGTGCTGTTTACCAACGCTCAGCAATTAAATTGGAACGGCAAGGTAATAAAATATTTATTAACCGTGTTAAATCCATATCAGCATGGAACTTAACATAACATATGGAGCTCTTGTTCTCACTGAATAGTCAGCAAGGAGATCAACTAAAGTAGTCTCACGCCAAAATTCCGGGAAGAAATCTGTGTTTATCATAAACACAGATTTCTTCCCGAAATTTTGGCGTGAGACTACTTTAGGTTTTCCTTTAACTCCAGATTTGGAGAGAGCTGTTAGATGTAGAAGCGAAGGATAGCTTTCTTTTACATAAACATAGACACTATTTAAGTCAAGATTAAGAAATGCGAATTTTTTTTATTTTTGCGCGGTCCCTCAGTTTGATTTCAATGGTAAGTCAGAGCCAACAGCACAAGTGTAGAATAGGTCATTCAATGTTTCTCGGAATTAAAAGAAAAAAAAAAATCAACAAAACGTTATCATATGTCAGAGGATTATTACTGTTTTCCAGTGGCGCTTGATTTGAATCTCTGTCTGTTATTTAAAGATTTTGCTCTGTTGCATTTTGCTTATATACATGTGTTAAGCAAAACCTTCGTGATAATCTAAATGTAAAGCAAGAAGTTTCCATGCTTGAAAGGTTACACGCCATAATGGGTAAACAAGACATGCGCCACACACTAAAAGTTGATCAATCTTTCTAGGAAATTGGTCCCCACTGAATACTAAAGGAGCATCAGCATCGAAGGAGCATTTTCAGTTTCGATGGCATATTCAAAGAGCTTCTGATCTTGGGTCTGAAAAGTGGGTCTGAAAAGTTTCTTTGAAAACCTCTTTTTAAACTGGTAAGAATGTGAAAGTTTCTTGTCATAAAAAATAGAAATCGTGCTATTGACAGATAAAGCTGGATCAAAGCTTGCTGCACCAAATCATGCCTATCTTTTAGCTTATTTAGAAACAATCGACAATCGATGACTCAGTGAAGGATGTAACGTTTTATTTGGTTCTAAATAATTTTGCATCTCTGAAATTTGGACTCAGTCAGGGCTACAGATCTAGTCGATCCGTGGTTTAAAGTATATTTAGAAGAAATAAAATGCTGTTGCTAATATTAGAAGCACATAAATAGAGGCTTTTAGATCGCAGTACATAATAACAAAGAAGTCGGGTTTCATTTTTGGTTATTTATGTAACGCTTCAGAGATTCTGCGCCATAACCCTTCGACATAATTATGTCGAAAGTAAATGAATTTAGAAAACGGGGTGAGCCATGATTTAAGAAAGTCCCAAGTGGGGTTTAAGGAATGCGATTTTCTATTTTCTATTACATCAATCTGCTTAGTAAGAGAGGTCCCCCCTTTTTCTTTTAACAAAAATTAAAGTTTTAGTTTCATTTCATTTCATCTGACTATAACTTGTCTGTCTAATGAAACTTATGGCGTCCACGACCCGATGAAGTGTATTAAATACTATTAAATGCACTCTTAGTTGAACCAGTTCGGTTGCTTAATGGTTTCAACAAGACACAATGGCACCTGTGAGAGTTCCATAGAGCTAATTTCGAACACAGTAATTTTGACTTCAGTTCATGATCAGATCATCACTTTTCGTTATGCGGTTATGCCGCATGGAYTCACTGTTCGGTAACACCTTAACAGCCCTCGATTTGATTCCAAATGCCGCGAGACAGATTCAACAACACAAGGAAAAAAGGCTTCTTCCATGTTCACTAGTTTCTTGAAATTGACTCAATTCCTAGAAACTAGTGAAGATTGAAATACATATACTGATGCAGTGTCATATCAAGACGATTAGGTTAGTATCTACTGCTTTCATTTACTTTACATCTTTATCTTTTTGCTCTGCTAGATTGTTCACATCTTTCAAATTACATTAAGCAAAACAATTTAATAGTGGCTTTTTTCCTGTCTGAAAACTCTATTCTCGTCATGGTAGGCAAACAACTGAACCATACTGCTAAGACTGAATGGCATGCGACAAGTACACATGACATGGGTAAATAAGACCTTTCTCTGATTCTTGGAATTCCAGGTGCACCAAGCATTATAAAGGCTTTTGGTTGCCATCTTGCAGGAACCTAACGTAATGTTTGATACCTATTTATCTTCAAAACCGGTAAGACTGTGAAGTCTTGGTACCTCTAGAAATTATACAATACAACTAGCGAGCTTCCTCAATCGAAGCAAATCTGCTGTAAATAACACTAATAATAAGCCTTCAACCTGGCAAAACCGAAATCATTTTCATGTATTGTGCTGTTTACGAACGGTCCGCAATTAAATTCGAACGACAAGGTAATAAATTATATATCAACTGAGTTAAATCAATATCTGAATGACACATAACACATATATGCATCGCCTTGTTCTCACTGAATAGTCAAGAAGAAAATCAACTAAAGTAGTCTCAGGCCACATCTGTGTTTATTATTTTCCATTAACTCCAGACTGGTAGAGAGCTGTTAGATATAAGAACGTAGATTAGCTTTCCGCCACATGAACAACTTGAAAGCAGCAGTCAACAGAATATTGTTTTCTGAAAACAAAGGAATCGACATTAAGTACAACCGCATGGGTTTAGAAGGGATAGATCCATCACACATTGTGGAAGCTTAAAGTGATTCTTTGGCCCTTTCGACTAGGTTTCCACTTTTCTGATGTGATGAAATACAGTGTTCTTAATATACAGAGAGCGCATTAAAAATGCTCTTGTTTTTAGCTCACCTTGTTCCCCAATAAATACTATTCAAAGGCAATGTAAAGAATTACGCAATGATTTTTCGTTTAATTTTGTTAAACTTTTGTCGTGTAAAAAGAAAGGCTCCATTACATTTCAATGGAAAGTCAGAGCCAACAACACGAGGGTTGAACAGGTCACTCAGTATTTTCTCGGAATTTAAGTAAACTCACCCAAGCACAGATTTCAATTTATATTTAGTACAAATGACAATTTTTTTTAAGTCTGAAAAGATATCTAGGCAACCATGCACGCTATGATAGGCAAAAAACTGAGACATGCCCCCAAAGATTGAAACCGATTTGCGCTTTCTGTGAAATTGGTCCACTAAATAAAAGCAACGAGGAGCACCTCCAGTTCGGCCGTCTTTGAAGAGCCTCTGATCTTCAATTTAAAGAGGTTGTTTCAATACTTTTATTTCTTCGATACAGGTTTTAAGTTTTTTGAGTCACAAAAAGTAGATAGGGAGCCAGATCGTTGAAAATGATCTCATCAAAACAGCCGGGTAACCTAAAGTTTGCCGGGTTGTGGTCGGCGGTTCGAATCCTGGTGTGGGTTTTTTTTTCTCCTAGCTTCTTACAAATGGTTTGCGCTTGTATAAATATCGGAAAATAAAAATTTCAAGCCATAAAGGTAATGTTATAATAAAAGAAAATGAGACGCTTCTCGAACGCGAAACCCTCTCATATGATTTTTGGCAAAGTTTCGGTTAAAACCAGCTGCAGACAAGGTTGTCGATAGATCGAATTATACACCCACCCATTGTTGTAAACCAAATAGTCTTCAATTTGGGAGTACTTGTTCCACTCCAAACACGAAAGGTCCGTTCATCGCTTTGGGAGCCATTTTGTTCACAATGGTCGGAAAATGTCACCCCTCTCGCAAAATACCTAGTCAACGGAATTACCACCAAAACAAAGTTTACGACCCATCAGCTGACCGATTGACTGACTGACTGACTGACAGAGCAAGTGAAATACTTCTTCCCCAACTAACTACTATAACTCCCTGTAGCTGCGCTTTCACTCGTCACAAATCGATAACATTTCTTACCTGATTTAGCTATTACACCCGGCAAGGATAATGTTCTTTATACCAGACTCAAGACTGTAGTGACATCTGTGACGTCTTCTTTTTCCACCGGACGCTTTGTTTGACATTTCAACGGTTTGTTTATTTTTGTATTCGAATTTCAGAATCAACCAAGGCAATAAACTAATTCTCTGCAGAGCAAAGATGAATGTAAGTATAATAGTGTATAAAACAACGAGTCTTGTGAAATGTGAAATGTGATGCCGAATATGAATGCGCACAAGGTGAACCGCTAAATTACTGAATGTAGTAAGGGCCTCCACAGACTAGACATTTAGTTCAGTGTCGACAACTATTTGTTATCGGCACCTAAACGTAATAGACAACTTAAAAACGCCGTGTGAGATGAGCTGTCAACATCTAATATCTACCTCGCAAAAGTGGCCTAAAAATATATAAAATTGAAACTACAATCGCTGAATGGTAAGCGAACTTTTCATGACGTTAAGTCAATAATATAAGGTCATTTTCTTTATTCTCTTTATTTTTGTTTTCACTATTTATTCCTATTGACGTTACCTTAATATTATGTTCCCTTTTAATACCATGTTTTTGTTTGATGCCTATACTGTTCCTGTGAAAGTTCTACTAGTGCAGTCTAGACATACTAGCTTATAATAACTCATGAATTAAACATTTGGAGGTGATGAAACTACACATTTAACAAGCGTATATTGGCATCTTCTTTGCTTGCAGCCTCAGCCAACACAAGCAAGAGCAATACCACTTTGCATTCCCAACAATTTTAAGTGGAATCAACACACGGGTAATCTAGAAAAAACTAAAGGACGACGTCAAACACTAAATGTTAATGACGAGGCGCTTACAGAGCTGGGAAAAATAAAAGGTGTGTTTTGATTATAAGCCTAGGTTATACTAATGGTTAAGTTTCATCTGTATCTTAATCCTCATTTTTCTTATTCTGGTCTGCTTTCTTAGCGTCGTCCTATTTCTTATCCCTCTCTTCATTCAAATCGCCGTCGTTGAGGCCACTACCAGCACCACCACCACCACCACCACCACCACCGTTCCCATTAAAACTGCACTCACGTACCGCTATCCCACCATCAGATCCCATTACTATTTTTGGTTCAATCCCCCCATCCCACCCCAAGAATCTTAAAAGGCCTAATGATTCAACATTGGCAACTAAGCATAAACAAACAAATTCAATTCACTGCTCCATGACGAAACTGTTTCCATCAGGAAAAGGATGAAAATTACGCCTGTAGCGAACGGCCTTTCCTCGCCCTCAAGATGATATAACGTCGAAAGCGTTTGTTATTGTTGTTGTTGTTTTTTTTACCATTTTTATTCTGTTAAACATTTTTAGCCTTGTAACAGGACATTAGCTATAGCTATTGTAATCATTTTAGTTACCTACTTTCGTGTTGAAACCGGCTGTCGGACGCCTTGTATGGGTGGGACCCCAAAGCTGCGTGTTTAAACTCTTCTCATGTCTCCTGGAATCTAGCCTGGTAGCCACTCATTGATAAGGCCTGGAAAGCACCATAAGTTGCATACGCAGGACCACGCTAAATTTCTTTACTAGGGCAATGATAGAAACTCGGTTCCAGGCCTCGCTACCCAAGATATCGAACTGTACCATGGACAGTCCTTACTGATTAGCAATATCCTTTACAATGTAGGCGTAGGAACCATTTCTCGGGAACTGCCTGTTACATGGCGTTGACGTCGAGATTCATGAAATTTATTTATTTTTTAGAACCCGTGTGTGTTGTTTCAATAGTTGGACCATGCAGGGATGGCAAGTCCTTTATTTTAGGTGAAACATTTAATCAGCCTGACGTGTTCCCTGTGGGATTTAAGATGGATCCCGAGACGATGGGAATTTGGATTTGGATTTTACCACATACGATAAAGGTAATAAAACCCTAACTGGAGCTGAGCGATGTGAAGCATGCAATTTTGGAATGGGGTCACAGAAGACATGTTTATTTATTTATTTATTTATTTATTTATTTATTTATTTATTTAAAGCGTATATTGGGAAAAATATTGACGGCCATTTGTGCAAAGATTTCTTTGAGGCTTAAAATGTCCTGGTCTTTGTTTGTTTTAGGATAACCATGGCCGTGACGTTAGAGTAGTGCTCTTAGACTCGGAAGGAACGGAATGTGCTGAGGCGGAAGGACAGCAAGACAACCAGATCCTCACTTTGATAGTGTTAATGGCTTCTATACTAATTTACAATTCAAAGGGAGTTCCAAAGAGAAATGAACTCAATCAACTGGAGTATCCTTTTAAATCAACGATATTCCAGAATTCGTTTCAACCAGACTGACTTGCTTTTCACTACCTCATTATTGATTTGTATTAAAATATTGAAATTGCCAGAAATGGCTTCTTTACTTTCCTTAATCAAAAAACAAATCAGGTTTGTACTGAAACTGTCCCGTCAAATTCAAGCTAGATCAGGCAGACAGAGTGGTTTGGTTAAAAATGAAGATGCTTTTCATAAGACGTTTCCACACTTCATTTGGCTCCTGAGAGACGTCATGACTGACATACCAGATGACTGTAAAGACATCAAAGAGTACTTCTTGACAAGGGTAAGAATGTGGTTCCTTGGTTTTGAAATACTTTAGTGTGTCACTGGAAAATTTGACCCATTTACAGACTTTATAAAATGTCTGTAAATCCTGAACTTACAGATTTGGTACTTATCCTGCTTAAAAACAGAATGTCTGTAATTCTGTATATTCTTATTTAGTTCTGTTCATTTCAAAATGTTTGTAAAATGTTTGTAAATTGTAGCAGCTAGAATAAGAGGAAATGACTCATAATTTACAGACTTAACAATATCTCCTAAGAATGTTTATATATTAACCACTTACAAAGATTTTACACATTTAGCCTTATCATGTAAAATCTCTGTAAATTGACATACTTGGGGCACCATAAAATCTATTCTGCTGCTACAATATTAAATTAAAAATCAATACGAACATTTTCTTTATAAACTTGGTATTTTTTTTTTATCAATATCACCATTAAAGTTTTAAATATGCCATTATTATATTAACGGGTCTTACAAAGACTGACACTTGTAATGAAATTCACGAATTTGACCGATTGGCTAAACTCGATATGGCCGTCACTCAACACGAAGGGAAGAGCGACTGAGACGCCAAGAAGAAAGAAAGAAAAAAAGAAAGTTATTAGAATTTGCCACTCCTGTAGTCAAACTCGATGAAACAAAATAGCAAAGAACGAAGGAGGAACAGTTTTGGACAATTCCTGAGGCATAAGTCGTGGCAAACTTCGTACAATAGCTATGTAGTTATACAAATTCAAACGCCCCGACAGCTTCTTTAAAGTGCCAGCGAGAAATGTACATGTCTGCTACTCCCGACTTTGGTCGAGTTTCGCTCTGTTAATACTGACATTGTACATGTAGGAACAAAATATCAATATACTTTAAACTGCGTTGACACTTGTCTGGTGTTGTCATGCAAAGCTAAGGATTATACACTCTCCCGTCACTCTAAGTACTGTTACAGCCATCACCTTAATTAACACTGACCTACATAATGAAGAGAAAAATATTTTACCTTGCTCGTAAGCTCATTTGTCATTACTTTTTAGGTTTTTAAAGGGACAGAAGCATCAGAAAAGGATAAAACCCAATACATTGCTGAAAGCATTCTGCACTTCTTTTCTGAATTTGATGCCTTTTGTCTTCCACCACCTGCATTCAGCAAAGAGTTAATGAAAGATTTCAAACGGAACAAGGATCGTATGAACCCAGAATTCTTCTCCGAAGTGGAGGAGTTTAAAAGAATGCTGCATTCTAAAATCGGTCCCAAGAAAAGCTGTAATGAAGGAGAGTATGTCACTGGAGAAGGTAAGAGTGCTTTCAAGTGTGAGTTAGTAGTAGTAATTTTCTGTTGTGGTGGGAAACTTGGAAGGTGTTACTAGCTGGATCGGGTAAATCCAAAAAGGAGGCTGTCCTGAAATTCATGACGTAATTGAAACCTTAAATGACTCAAAAATGTTCCTAGAGCCGTATAGTATGTAGTAAGAGAAAAGTATCAAAACGTTGATGATAATTACTCATTCATGTGCAAAACTCATATTAATTCATTGATTAACACTCCTTTTTGGGTAAGGACAAAATTTCATTTATTATTTCTTCAATAAATTTAACTCGACAGGACTGGCAGTCTTGACGAAACTGTATGTTGATGCTATCAACGATCCTAAGAGCATACCCAATGTGCAAACAGCTTGGGAAACTCATGTGCAAAGAAAATGCAAGGATGCAAAGAGAAAAGCGATGCAAGCTTATGACAAGAAAATAAAGGCACAACTTTCTGAACTGCCCTGTGATGGAGAGAAGATCCTGGCGAGTCATGAATCTGCTATTCGCCAAAGCATGGCCATATTTAACGAAGAAACAGTTGGTATTTCCTCTGACCATACCAAACGAGATTCTGAGGAGCTGATGGTGAGAAAAATGCCGTTGTTTCCTCCATCTTCCTTCTTTCCTTCATTCCTTCCTCCTTCTCTACTCCTCTTCCTCCCTTACTCGCTTCCCTGATTTCTTGTTTACCTATTTCATTGCTTCCTTCTGCCCTTCCCTCCTTGCCATCTGGCTTTTCAGCTTCCTTTCTTTTGCTCCCTTCTTCTTGCATTAATGTCACTTCATCGCAAAGCAGGTGTCCTTGTGATATTATCTTTGTCGTCTCTTCAACAGAATGAAGGAATTCAAAAGCTAGCTGAATGGAAAGCCAAAAATGATAGTCTGACCAAAAACTCCTGCGAAAAACTTCTGAAAGAACTAAAACGAAAGCATTTAGATCCTGTCTTTGATAGAGCTCGTGGATCGGCTGGAACAAGTGTGTCTTACAAGGAAATCGACGATGGCCTTGCCATAATTGAACTGGAGTACAAAACTCATGCAGTGGGTGCCAAGAATGTTCGAGCACAAGTGTTTTACGAATTCCACGAGGTAGTATTAAAAGTTACGATATAGCCCTTTAAAAAGTCTGTTTTTGGATAAAATGCAGTGTTTTTGATTGTCAGGAGGTTGCTCTTAAAATCCTGGATTTTCAATGAATGCTATATTTCGGGCGGATAATAATTCAACTTTTCAATGGCGTTACAACTCAGATAATGCTTTTATAATCCAAAAATTAAAACCTTTGTTGAGTCTGATAGAAAATTTAAGAAGCCACGATCGTGACGCTCAGGACAGCAGACGAGTTTCGTTTGCTCAGAGCATAAAAAAGAGACCATTCACGTGTTGAGATAAAATTTGGCCACGTTTCATGGTCGCTTTTATTGATTTAAAACCATACATAAAAATAAGCTAATGAATAACTAATCTATGAACTATTAAGCTCTGAGCAAAGGTTGGGGCAAAAAGATAAAACACTAATTTAACATACGAATCTCACGACACTCCTAGGTCACTCCTTGGTTCACTTTGGGAAACTGAATATGGAACATAGCGTTAAATTTGAGATGGTACTGTTTTTAGACAAAAAGACATCCCCATAGATCAATTTACCACGCCGAATTGAGTAAATATGAGAAGTTTCATAACAATCATGAAAAACTTGCCAATTTTTGCAAAGAAATGTAAGCTAGGGGGCAGCGAAATTTTAAAAAAAATATATACATAATAAATCAGGCAGTGAAGCAAATGTTTTGTTTGAATGAAGCAATCTGAAAAGTGTGCATCAGTAAAAACTTAGGTTCATTCCCAAAGCTAAACCTCTTGACCATCTATAGCCAACTAGTTCCGAATATGGAAATTATGATTATTCTGCGTCTCTGAAAACACTTCTCGAAAGACTTCAGCATTCTGGGCCATACACTCAGTGTTTACATAATGTTTTTGTGAAATGGGATTCTGGGCTATATACCCAGTGTTCACTTGATGTTCATGTGACAATTTTGGGTAAACTAAGAGAATAACCTCAAAGTAGCTTGTCTAGATGTAAAGGTATTTTGCTTATCATAACCAATCGTATGTCTTACAACTCCTCATCAGGTAAATCCATCTTTCCACTGAGAAAGTGTCTCTTGCAAAGTCTACCGTTGTGCACGTAAATCACAAGCAAGTGAGCATGAGGAAGAGGACGAGGTGGAATTCTAAATGTTGTTGTAAATACATGTTTTATTTTCCAGCGCTTTAAGGCTGAGTGCGACCAAAACAAAGAGTTTCTCAAGGCAATGAAGGATTACCAGAAAGAACTTCTAGAACAACGGCATAAAAACGCCGAGAAAGATAAAGAGACAGAGAAGCTAAGGGTAAATATGTTGGCATTTAGCTAGAGCGGGTACCATGTCATCACGATTAGTTGGAACACGTAACTGCATGTTGATCAATACATGTACCAAACCCGGCCCTCTCATGTTGACCAAATTAAAACTACAATCTGTTGATAACAGTAAACGTGCAGGAAGGAGAGAAATTGTCCCAACAATTGTGACATGCTATCAAAATGTGCCTCTAGCTGTTCGTTTATTGACTGGCATAAAACCAAGTATTATGCAAATACCTCATGTTATCTATATCGAAGTATATGCAAAAACAGTGGATAGTGCTTTTCGTGTATTCTGATTGCCTACTCAAACTCGGAATAGTGTTTGCTATTCCGAGCTTGCGAGAGCAAAATTGTTTCCTGGTTTTCTACCGTAACAGAAGGAGAAATTTGAGCTGTCAATAAAGCAGCTGTCCCTTCCAACACAACAAAAACTACAAAATTCGGCTTGACAGTATTTACATGTACTGTTTTATTATTTATAGGCGAAAGTTTCTCCGCCGACATTTCTTCAAAAAGAAGTTGTAAAGTCTACTCGATTTCAAACCATGCTGTAAGACATTTTGTAGACTTCATTGTCTCAATATCAAACCTCAGACTAATGACACTTTCAGCCGTGGCGTTATCGGAGAAACCGTTAACGCCACGAAATAGGAGACTTCATGGGACTTGTACCAGCGCGTTTCGGGTTGTAAAAGAGTTTACGCAATTTATACCTTGGGAAAAAATAGAGGGCATTAAGTAACACAAGATCATGGAAAGGATTGGGCAATATTTCACCTTAATTCTAAGTCGTGCTGCCATATCTTTGTATAGTCTAAATATTTATTATTATCTTTTTACATTTAGGAAGAAGCTGCTTATTTGAAGAAAGAACAGAAGATTCAAGAACAAAAGGTAAACAGTATAGTATAGGGCAAAAAAGAAATTTCCCAGAGGATTTATCTAAATAATGAAAACGACATGTCGTGATCCTTATTCTATACGTTAAGGACTCTCTCCTCTTTTCAAATGGAATTGGACTGAAATTGTTTCCAGTTCAGACTGTGTGCATCCTGGTAGCCTGCGAACAGGCTTCCGGTGAGCCCCAACGAAGCGAGGGAGGCTGTTGATGCCGCCGTTCCATGATGCTAGCTCCTGGTATCATGATATGATTGCTTAAATCGCTGATCGTTGACATCTTTGAGATAAATATATGACAGATCTTTATAAAATGCGGTTGATCGCCCTACACGACTCCTACGGTTCACGAGGCTTACTGTATTTTGCGAGGGAGAAATAATACCTCGAGTTTGGACTCGAGTTCGAGTTCGAGTTAGACCTCGAGTTAGACTTCGAGTTGGACTTCGAGTTGGTTTTCGAATTGAAGATCGAGTTAGACTTCAAGTGGAAATAAATTTAACTAGAGATAAAGGCGAAGAGAGGCAAAAACCAAACAAAAGGAACCAAAACAACCAAATTAGTTTTTCCGGCTTTGTAGCCCGGCACAGTCAATTGCCTTTTGTTGTTGTTGTTGTTGTTGTTGTTTTCAGTTTACTGAAGTTAAAAAAAGTTGTAAGAAATATACTGGAACAATATATTTATTCTTCATGATTTACTAAAAAATAGTTAGATACAGGTCCAGGGTGAGAAATAACCTGCCGTCCACATAAACTAAAAGCTTAGAAATTAATTGCAACTATTAACATTGTTAATGTTTTAAAATCATTGAATCGCTTAATCTTGCAGTATCGAGTACTGTCATTAAATGTAAACAAACTAATGATGAAAACGCACTCAAGCAAGAACGCGCCCTTTTCCCATCTTTGAAATTGGTGGGAGGAGGTAAAGTTGTAAAAGCTAAAAAAAATAGTCTAGAAGAATTTGTCACACGATCACTCGCATATTAAGTTTCGAACAGAACTGATCTCAGTTGGATCGTTTTGAATTGAATTGGATTGAACTGATCGGAGCTATTGAAAGTGTATGGGTGTATGGATGAGAAAACATATCCCTGGCCAACTAGTAGCCACGCGGGCTGGAAAAGAAAATTCCAATTTTTCATTACTTGCTTAAGATAATGTACAGAAAGACAGCTAACTTCCAGGTCAAATCTTTTGGGGTAATAGAGGAGTTCACGTTCTAAGGGGCATTATGGGAAAAGTTGTTTGCCATCGGATTCTCATACAAACACAGTAAACTCTAAAGAGTATAAAAGCAGAAAGCGACATAACGTAGGATGATTGTTTTGAAGGTGTACTATTTCGGTTGGCCAAACCAGCCTTCTTAAGGTTCAGTGAGAATTTTTCTATACGGCGATGTTGTTCAAATCGGTCTTTTAGATGTCGTTCGTCTCTCCCATGTATTGTAAACGACGTTTAAAAGACCAATGTAACAAACACCACCGTACCATAGATAACCCTAACAACAAATCTAAATCTACTACAGCCGCAGAACATTTCCTGTCATCTCCTAACCACACTGCCACGACATGCAAATAATCCCCATCAAAAAATTCCTTTCCAACCGAGACTCTATCCGTAAGGTCAGAGAGGCTTTTTTAATTTGGACATCCACGAAGAAACGTATTGTTCCCTTTTATTATGTTATTTGATTATTTTGTTTTACCATATGCTTATCTTTAGTTTTACGTGTTTCCGGTATTACGAAAATATGCTACATATGCTCAAAATATGTTCATTGTAACTGAAGAAGACTGGTTTGGCCAGCCAAAATATCGTATACCTTCAAAAAATCATCCTAAAATCATCATATTTTCCATTTTACATGTGAAGCCGATTAGATCACTAGTTTTAAACGTATACAAGCAGTATCATCGTTCCGGTTGCTCACTGTAATTTCTGACTGCTTTGCCTACCCGTCAAGATGGCAGATCTGTGCTGTGCCACTCGGACGGACGCATAAGCAATAAAGCCACGTACAGAAAAATAAAATTCCAAAACAGCAATTCTTCCTTCAGTCTCTTCTGAAATACCGTTTTGATCCACGATAAAAAGAAGACTCACATTGTGTCACCACGTGCATCTTTCTGATGATCATCTTTCTCTGGCGATGAAGTTATCTCTATGATTGTTTCCTCGCTGAAAACAGGGGCATGTTTCAGCGTTAATTTGCATTCTAAAATAAATCTTTCAACTGGAAGTCTGCAAGTAAACTAAACCTACCTTTCCATTGTCAATTCCACGATGGCCAGCAATCAGGCTGATGACAGGACCTCAGATCATACCACGTTATGTCGGTCTGTTATCCAGGAAATGTGTCATTCACAAGATGACCAAGTGGACAACGTTAGAGTCACGCATCACGCGTCACGCCACTTGACTTTCTTAACAGAGATCGTTGGCTCATGGTTAGCACATGACCATGTAATTACTCGGGCTTTTTTTTTTTTTTGCGTTCAGTCACAAACGCAGTTCAACTAGAGCACATGCGTGAAGTGTACGCGCATGCGTAGAATGAACCCTAGAGAGCATGGTTTAAAGCAACGGCCGCCTTC